TCAAAATGTCAATGAAGGACAAGACGTGTTGTTCACCTGTGAAGTCTCTGGGGAGCCTTCTCCTGAAGTTGAGTGGTTAAAGAATAATCAACCTGTAAGTAACCATTTAGTATGTTTACTTGAAAAAATAGAATTATTCATAAAATTTATCTTAATGAAACCATTTTTGTTCCCCTCCTTAGATTGCAGTTTCATCGCATCTCAGAGTATCTCGCTCTAAAAATATATATTCTCTTGAGATTCGAAATGCCACAGTGAGTGACACTGGAAAATACACAGTCAAGGCAAAAAATTACCATGGGCAGTGTTCTGCTACAGCATCTTTGACTGTACTCCGTAAGTTTGCTTTTCAGATCTTGTGTTCAGAATAGTCACAACTTTTTGCTGTGGTGTGTCTACTAAAATGACTTACAATAAAATCCACTGGCAGTGTTGACTTCAGTATTTTAAGATGTTCATCTTTTTTTTAAATATTACATATACAGCCCTAAAACAGCATTAGAAATCTTTTTAACACCCTGAGTAGCACAGAGGTGCTCTATTACATCAACAGGTGCATGGTAAAAGAAAGCTATGAGCATTTGTTCTAGGATGAGTGTGTTAAGACCTTGGTGCTGGCAATTATTCTTTCTTCTAAAAGGAAAAAAAAACCTATTTACTAAAAATATCTGTTACAATAAAATGAAGTCATTCCACAGTTAAAGGTTTTTATGGCAATTTAATAGAACTGGGTTTACTATTTTATTAGCTATACCATATCCCAGTTCCTAGCATCAAGGTGTGGTTGTGATTTGCTTGCATGACTGTGTGTGGGTTTAAAGCAAAGCTGCAGTGATTGAGATTTCCTGTTGCCCTTTACAGCTACAAAACAATGCAGTGAAATACAGATTTTACTATTCTGTGTTTTTAAGAGCTTGAAAACGTTTCACAGCTTCTACAAATATCAACTGAGCACACACAATTAATTTCTCAGTGTCTAATTCTAGTCATGGTTCTAATAAGAAACACTGCGTGATGACCTGTTTTTTCTTAAGTATGTATGGTTTTCCTTTAAGGTCATACATACTGTAAGTTTTTGCCTATTTTTTAATTTCTAAATTACTGTTTGTGATTTCAGTATCTTGACTCAAATGACTGTAAACAAGTGTATACTCCACTGCAGTTTTCCATTGAAAGCAAAGTATGCCATCTTCATTTCTGTAAAATTAACCATACAGAACTGCATGACTTTGTTTGTTAATGTGATGTTGTTGCTTTTTCCTTCTATGTTTGCAATGCTCCTCAGCTCTAGTTGAAGAACCTCCGAAAGAGGTAGTATTGAAGACCAGTGGCGACGCAAGCATGCACGAAAGTTTTTCTTCTCAGTCCTTTCAAATGGCTTCTTCTAAACAAGAGGCTTCATTCAGCAGTTTCAGCAGTAGCAGCATGACTGAAATGAAACTTGAAAGCATGTCTGCCAAAAGCATGTCCTCCATGAAAGAATCCTTTGTAGAGATGAGCTCCAGCAGTATTATGGGGAAATCTAGCATGGCTCAACTGGAGAGTTCAACTAGTAAAATGCTTAAATCAGGTCTGAGAGGTGAGCATTACAATTATTGGTAGTTAGTGCTTCAGCTATCCTGAAGTAGTCCTCAGAGTAAAGCTGCTTCATGGCTTAGTGAAAACAGACTAACTTGGTATTTCTTCCCCTATTTTATAAAGGAGTACCACCCAAAATCGAAGCTCTCCCATCTGATATCAGCATTGAGGAAGGAAAAGTTCTCACACTATCCTGTGCCTTTTCGGGTGAACCTGCTCCTGAAATAACATGGTACTGCAGAGGGAGAAAAATTACCAGTCAGGACCAGCAAGGCAGATTCCACATCGAAACCAGTGAAGATCTAACCACCCTGATCATCATGGATGTCCAGAAGAACGACGGTGGACTTTATACTCTGAATTTAGGGAATGAATTCGGTACCGATTCTGCCACTGTGAATATAAATATCCGATCACCTTAGAGAGCTTAATCTGTATTATTTACACTTGTATTTTTACAAGTGATTCATATATGGACTGAAATATCTGATATGTAAATATAAAAGAAAAATATTTTTTTACCTACCTGAACGAGACAAAGTCCAGATCTATACATTATGACTTATAGTCATTATTGACCTAAGAATTTAAATCACTTTTTTCACTGACATGTACATACTGTATATAGCCGAAGTTAACGGTTATGAAGTTTTGTACCGTTTATTTTATGACATTTTGAAACGTAACTTTTGGAACTAACAGTTGGCAGGGGAAAGTTTCCTAGCAAATGACTACCCAGCTCAACATTTAACTAATTTTTGCGCCTCAACTCATTGTTGATGTCTAAGAATGCCTCAACAGGTAGAGAGGCTCCCTGTTGAAGATTACCTACACCTAAGACATGATACTGTGCACAGTATTTCATACGTGCACAAATATTTATGTTGAATCAGAAATGTAAGGCATTGGTGATGTTTGCAATTACCCTCCTGTAAGCATTGCTTTAATGTTTTACATTCGATCTGATTATGTCATAATTTTCCTACCTGACTGACAATTTCTGGACAAAGTGCAAGCGGCCAGCACTTTGTTCACCCACTGTGTACTGTTTCTGACATATTGATTGCCTGAATAGCTTTTAAAAAAGTAACATCACCTGGCCATCCCCTTAATCAACAAAGCTATTTAGGTATTCAAGTGCAGCAGCAGTACCCCATCTCGGAGGTTCTTAGGGTGCAGTGAGTGAGTTTGTGTGGTAGTATTAGACACCCAGTAGTCACTTCCAGGCAACTAAGCAATGAACCACAGTTTGAAAACAAACTGTTGCTACAACATCAAATACCAGTCTGCACTTCAATTTGCTTTAGTTCTCCTAATGTAGTAATAGAGCTTAGTAGCTGTTGAACCTCCTTGAGATAGAATTGTTCATTTGAAATAAAGCATGCTTTCTGCACCATAAAGTCTGTGACTCCTTCTTTATTTATTATGCTGCTTTTACAGTTCCTGTACTACACTACAGAAAAAGAGTTGCTGAAACAAAAGATGAGACAGAAATGCAGTTCTCCAATGTAAACCAGGGAGTTAACTGTTGACAATCCAGCCATCTGTTAGAAACAGCCTATCTACCAGCCAGCCTTGGAAAGTTACTTCAAAAAAAATGTTCTTCATAGGTTCCTTATTGACAAAGGAAAAATTCTAGCACACGCCTAAACACTCTTACCCTGCTGTTCTTACCCTTCTGTTATTTCCAGGCTTTCCTCTACACCATCTTGGTTTTTTGGCAGCTTCAACCTGTACAGACTAGTTGACCCTAATTGCCTGGACCAACAAGTTGTCACCTACAGTGGGTGATTAATCAATTCTTCATCCCACAAGTCAGCTGACTTATCTGTCACAGCAAAGCCTGTCTTCACATTTGGGGAGCTGTGGGAGGGGTTGGGATATGTTATCTATGGGGAAAAGAGTATCAAGGTCAAAGGAGCAAGTCTGCTTCTAGAATTCACTCTGTAGAAAAAGCTTGAGAGCAAACACATTCACAGAAATGCAACACTTCAGGAGCTGTAAAATTCTCTGAAGTGGAGCAAGAGCATTACTTAGCAAACATGATGCCATCGCTGTGATTGTCAACATACCACTAACACTAAAAAAAAAACAACACCACAAACAAACTCAAGTTCATCAGAAGAAATGGAGCAGATAAAATGTTTAAAAACCTATTCCAAAAAGAATCTTTTTTTATACTTTGCTATAACCCTATCCAGATTATGCAGGAAAGCTAAAAAATAGGGACAAAACAAGGACTAATGTAAAAACAAGGATTTCAGAAAAGCTAAGCTATGGGTCAGGACTAAATCCAAATTTTTTGAAGTGATGGGAGCAATAATTGTAAGTATGAAAGTGTTAAAGAGGGCATGTTATTTCTTCCTTAGGGAGAAAAGAGCTTAAAAATATTAAGTTTAAAAGGCTGTTTATTTTAATCTTTAAACCATTCAAAGAAAAAAAAAAAAAACTCAAGAAAGTTTTTAATTCTCATTTCTTTAGATGTTTAAAAACACCCCAACCAACAAACTCAATACAAGAAAAAAATGCATAGGTACAGTCTTGTTTAGCTAACAAGTAACTTGTGTACACAGGCACATAATAAAGCTAACACTAAAAACACACTAGATATTTAATTATCTCAGCAGAAAGAGGTAAGTGATAGGCAGCATCTGCAGATTTAACCATGGCCCCTTCTACACAAAGGCTACTGGAAACTCAATCTCACATGGCCTCTACTGAGTCTCAAAACACTCAGTCAATGAAGAGGAAACACACTGTGTGTTGTTGTGTGTGATGGTGTCAGCAAGTTCATTCTGCCAGCACCTCTCTGGCCCAATTCTGCACAGCACTTAAAAGCAAGCATTTTCAGCAGATGAGTCACTCATGTCTAAAAATAGGATTTAAAATACTTAGGGGCTTTGCTGAAACACAGCTTGAATAGATAATGTTGCAGGCCGACCAGCTGAGCCAGTGTTTTTCCACAAGACTGCTAAGCAAATGCTAACCTAGAGTGACATTGCTGAAGTCACAACCCAAAGCTTCGATATTCCAGTGCACAGAACACATCCCTAAGAATAACATTTTTCAAGACAACAGATTAAGCAATCTCTGGGTGAAAAGACATAAACATTTTGAATTATTTACTTATTATATCCAGGTCAAATACTGAGATTTCTAACTATGTAAGCTGACATTTGCTCTCTTAGATAGACAGATCAGATCTATTGTGCTACAGGACCAAATTTATAAAAATATCTCACCACTGATATAGTGTATGAAAGCCTTTGGCACTCATGTTTCCTGAGCGTTGATGCATAAGGAAAAACTTTTTAATAAAGCTCTGTGAGCTGCTGTATAAATCCTTCTATAAAGCTATGTATTTTCCACTAACATTTTACATGTGGCAGCCTGAGAAAAATAATTGTAATGGTGGAGAGTAATAACAACACTGAGAGATTAATTTTATTACATTTTAGCAGGTTTTCAGACATAGACATTTCCTTTATTCAGGTATCACACCGCTTGTAAAAGTTTCTAATTTGCACCAACAGCAGCTTACACTAGAATATTCAGAGATAGGGGTGTTGCAAAACTCAAGTTTATAATTTGTGAAAATGATCTTAACAAAAACAAATAGGTGTGATTTCAGTTTTTAAGTAAGGAATAACATTTTTTGCAGAAGTAACCACTGAAGTATTCCTAACTCAAAGATTGCTTTCTCTAAGGAAACAAAGTTTAAAAAGTGAAGCTGAATTACAAAGTTGAAAGACATAACCTGAATTTACAGTACTTTAAAAGCCCCTAAACACTGAAATCTCAGTAGTCATAGCTCTCCAAATCACTGAATGCCTTACCATTAATTCCTTATAATTGAAGCTGGTAATTTCTAAGCTAATTCTAATTCTAATTATCTGATGTTAGGAACTTTAGAGATATAACTGAAGTTACTGCTTTTTATCTAAATATATGTCCCGTGCTTATATTCTTTAAGTGAAGAAATTTGAGCTAGTTTCAGACTGATCTCAGAAGCACATGAGATCAAAACTAGAAGTACCAACTGTTGAGGCTCAGCTCTCATTCTGCACTAGCAAGAATGATACAATCAGGCATTCCTGATAAGCTCTCCCATAAATTTAGAAATTAAATATGTAAGAGCAGCCAGGTATTTTTTAGTCTTACTTTGCATGGATCATTGTGATTCAGCCAGATAATTTTCAGAAATCACTTCTTAATTCCAGTTACCAAAGTATGACAGCATATTATCTCCACTAATTTCACTGAAATACATTTTAGGATGTTTGGCACAGGTATCTATATACAGGCTGATTAAATAGAAACGTATCACACATATAAACATAAAGCTGAAATGATGGCTTGGTGGACCTAGAAAACCTCAAAGCAGCACTGAAGCAATTACATGCAAATTTTGTGCTTGGATGTGATCACAACAACTTTTGTCCTGTGGCAGTATTTAAAATTATTACTTACTACTACATTCACTGATCAGTCTCACTTTGTTTTTGCACAACATGGAGTGCAGCCTCTTTTCTTCATAGTAGGTGGAAGCAGAAAAAGGTATCTGTCATTGTGACATATAATTAACACTGCAGAAACTGGCAGAAACCTCAGTGAAGTTTCAAAAAGCACTTTTGACAGTATTATTCAAGACAACACTCTCATTGCAGTATGTAGTTTACTTCTCTGAACATCTTCTTTAATACTTATTTTTACATTTGTCGTGTCATACAGAATACATTAAAGCAAACATTCAGAAAAAAAATGTACAAGCATGTCTGTGGCTGATATGCATATGCCAGTTTGCATGAAAAGTGACAGAACTGAGCACAAATGACAGCTCTGAGCTGGTATACACAAGCCCCTTTTACAAACCATTCCATTCCACTTGAACCTGACATAATGCTTTATAAACTGGCATTTTATATAAGGCCAACAGCTCATATGTTTTTCCTCAATATTTGGACCTATTTTGATTGAGATAAATCAATATTCCAAAAATTCATAAGGAAAGCTCATATTCCCATCTGTTCTTCCCAGCCTGCTTCAAATCATTTATATACACAAAAGGAAGACTAGTCAAACCAAATTAAAGATCTGATTATAAAAACAGATTTTGGTATGTGCTTGAATACAAAAAACCCTGTACATTTATATAGCAATTGTGTAAATCAAGAACAGTAAATGGCTTGCTTCAAGTGCTCTACAGCTAAGACTTCATAGACCAAGTTCATCCCTAAACAAACACCCCAAAAATCCTTACAAAAGCTTACAATGCTAATATTAACAACCTTCTTGACCAAGGTGCTAGTAGGCACTATTGTACTATACTACTCATTAATTATTAAGAGAGTCAGACTCTGACCTCACTTACAGTTAATGCAAATTTACACTGATGTAACTGAGAGCAGAATCCATCTTCTGGTGTATACCATCCTCAAATGATATAAAGGAGTTGCAAAAACAGACCCTCCCTTTTGTATAAATATGTCATAAATAAAACATATATAGATACAAATATTCATTACTACAGCAGCTTAGAATGGTCTAACATTTCAGCTCTTGTTTTTATCACACTTTGCTAAAAACACATCTTAAGTAAGCAGAGTAAATCTTAACAGCACTGTATTAATTATTTGTGATGCTACACACCCCAGAAACAATTTATGCACATTTTGAAGCTTTCAGTAGATCTTTAGACCTTTAGTAGTGAAAGTAGGTAGAAATTTTTGATGCAAAAAAGAATAAATAAATAAAAACTATTAAATATCCCATGTTTGGTACAAATACTTCATATTAAGTTATTTTTATACATTTGTTTAGAAAAATACACTAAATATTTCTACTTTCATTGCCTAAAAATAAGGACTGGATTATGTATATCCTTGTGTTTTTAAAGGCAGCAATGTCAATTACTGCCAAGCTGCTGGAGCAGAGCCATTAGTGCCCATTCCCACAGCCCTTACACTGGCAAAAAAAAAAGCCATTGTGGGGCTAATCACAGCTCCAGGTGGATGACCTGTACAAATGACCAAGAGGCCCATGGCACAAGTTGCATTTTCTCCAAAAAAATGAAAACTTTTTGCTGAATTTTATAATGCTTGTTTACTAACATATCAGTCAGACCTCCACACTTTTTTTAAAAAGAGCTGCATTTACAAATGTGGATGCTTATCTGTTAAAGCCATCATTTGTTCCAAAAAATGCACATTCAAACTGTGAAATATTAGGAAAATACTCTTGCAAATAAACTATATAAAGATAAAATACACTTCAAAGATAGTATTTACGTTATTCTATAAAGTGCAGAGAAATCCTTCTAAAAAGGGAAATAACTACTTCCTATAACAACAGTATAATTACAGCAGCTTTTGCATAGCATTATTTATAGAAAATTTAATACTTTCAGTTGCTTCAGGAGGAAAAGGATGTAAGAGTCTCTTCCAGTTCAGATCTCTCCTTTGACACCAATTTACTTTCTTCAGGAATGGTTGATGATACCAGATCTCCATTGACAGCACCTCTAGAACAATGGGCAGATCCTATAAAGAGATCAATTAAGTATTTAATTTTCAATCCAATTTCAAAAGTATCATCCAATCTGTCAATTATTGTATTTGTAAGGTATTTCCTAAATATAATCAATCAGAAGTCAAGTTAAAGTCTGCTAGAGAGGAGTTATAATGGAGTCAATCAGAAGTCAAGTTAAAGTCTGCTAGAGAGGAGTTATAATGGAGTCAAAATGCCAGCAACATTCAGAAGGAAAAACCACCGAAGAACTGACCACTAATTCAGCCCATCAAATCAGAGACTAAATTCTGATAATGACCTTTATTATTGGCAAGGATGTGTGCCTTCAGAGCTGTGCTGTTCTCTACAAAAGGCAAGAAGCCACTGAAATGAACAACCTTTCCACAATGCACTGAGTGAACTATCCCTGCAATTCACAGAAGTCAAAAAAAGGTAATTTCTTCTGTGACAATAACAGGTGTAAAACAGCAATATTCCACATCACTTACCATATAATCATTCATGTGAACAAACATCCCTTTTCTAGATAAGTCTTAATTTTATCTTGCCAGTAATCCCACTGTTCTCAATATAACTGCAAGATCATTTGCATACTCCATCTGCAAGATCATTTGTAATATCAACGGAAGCCAGCCCAAGTCAACCAGGTAACAAACTATACAAGTGCTCTGATTTATAATATAGGAATCTTACAAATAAAACATTTTTCCTCATGCCAATGTCAGTGCTGCTCTAAACAAGGAAGTAAATTGTACTGAAAGATACAAAAACTCCCTCCCTTTCAAACTTACTCCGAGACTCTTCAGAAGGTGTATCACTGTAAGATTCTGTATCCGAGTATGTTCTCCTGCGCCGCTGAGAAAATCGGTGAAGAGATGAACCCGGTTCTTTTACAGAGTGACTAATCCTACAAAGGAAGTGAGATCTATTAGCAAGCAAAATCTGTAACAACCCACACAAATTTTATATACTTTAAATTTGAAAAAATTTTGGTTATTTCCCACCCAATCAATTTTATGTACTTTAAATTGGAAATAACTTTGGTGCTCAGATTAAATTGTCAGTATTAATGCTTTTTTGCTAGTCTACCATAGCAGACTAAAAAAAGGACAGTCAACGATCTTAGTTTCACAACTACAAAGCCTGAAAGTGGAAATAAAAATGAAGGAAATAATTTCAGAAACTGAAATACTGACTGAAAAATAATGTTAGTGTTTCAAGCCTCTAATTTCATGAACTTGCCAAAACAAGTCATTCACATAAAGCTTCTAGCATGATGAAATTTTGGTACTGTATTAAAAATAGCAGCTGCCACCAGTAGCTGATAATGTGCACCTTTTGTTTTTAAAATTAGATCAATTTATCAGTTTTAATTTTTTCTCCACGCAAACAATTCGTCTCATATTTTGATTTTAATGCTAGCAAGTTCAGGGAGGTCTTTTGAGACACAAGAAAAAAACTTAAGGAAACAGAAAATTACCTTTCTGAATAGCAAGGACCAGGGTGGCTAATGGAACGCTTCATCTAGGGGAAAAAAAAAATTCCAAAGAACAAACAACACCAAATATGTCACAAGCTACTCAGAAGAATGATATGGATATCTACATTACACCTTGCTTTATTTACAGTCTTTACAAAGAGAGACTGCAATATTTTTTTTTTTAAAAAGCAACCACTCTCAGTTAAAAATCTGATTAAACCATATGAAAATAGATGGGTTGCCATCAATATTAAAAGTTTTACACATTCACACAGGAAATAGTTCACTACAAAAAGATGCTACCTCCTGTCTGTAGAATTCCTTCTCTCTTTCACTGAAGCTCCTCAAGGAGTCATTGTTAATTGCTATGATATACAGAAGTATCAAGACATTTTTCCTTTACCAATGGAAGTTCAAATTCCTCATTACACAATAAAGCCAAATTATGCCTCTTGATTCCTTGTGGTTTCTCTGCTATTACTGTCAAATCTCTATGTATATCAAAGAAAGTTACTATTTTAAATCATAATGATCAGCTTTGTAAGTAAAGTGATTGAAGATAGAGATGAGAGATCCATATGGAAAGAAAGAGGTTCCCACAACAATATTGCACAATACAGCTCATCTTGGAATACATACACAGAACTGAGAAAGCATTTGATTCTCCATACATTGTCCTTCTAAGGGAATTAATTAATAGTGAATAGTTATGCAAGTAACATATTTATCACGATATATCTTTTTGTTAAATAAGGGAATGATATATTAATACAAACATCTTAAATTACATACACTGAAATATATGCTATCTTGCTAAAGTGCTTTAAGTCACAAACCAGTTAAGCAAGAGGTGAAGTTATGCAATTTTTATGATCAGTGTATAGTTAGTACTCTAAAAAAACCAAACAGTTGAACTGAGGAAAAGTTAAACCTCATTCATTTATGAGGTACCTCATTACAGGGCCTTGACATGTATGATAAACTGCTCTGATGATGTAAAGGCTAGCAAACTGCAAAGCAAAGGACTAAGAACAGAAAACTGATTTATATTTGGGACCAGTACTGACTTATAACTCAATCAAGATTTCAACTGTGAATATCATAGCATGTAACAATAGCACAGCATTCTGCCACTCCTCCCCCCAGTCTAACCACCAGGATGACACTTAGAAAAGATAATATTTCAAAATGTCAAAACCATTTGAATAGGTGATGGTGACACAGGAGAAACCAAGGGATCAGGGTGAGGCAGCTGGAACATTTCTGGCTTAAACTTGGCATTAGCAATCTTCACACATTCTTCAAGTGTTGTGATAAATGTATTACATGTGGCACTAAGCAAGGAAGAGGCTTCATTCATGTTCTGAAAGTAAATGAAAGCACAAGCATAAGCAAGGAAAAAAAAAATATTCAAATACAACTTTCCTCCACCACCTTTCCCAGACACACTAGTCTCCCTCATTACCACTAAGAATTTATATTTCCCATTTTTTTAATCAAATGTATGCCTTACCATAAGGCAAATTTAAGAAAACACATGTGACAGCATTGCAATTTCTTTCTGACATCTGAATTTCTTTAAGGTACTAGCCAACAATGCCTTACTGCAAAGCTTGTCTCAGAGTGACTAACTGGTATCAGAAGATCATTCAGTGAAACAAATGAATTGCAGCAGAAGGTGTGAACAGTTTTCTCACTCTAGAGCAAGGAGCTGCAGGTCCATTTCACCTACCTAAACTGAAAACTTGCTCTGTTGTCACTGTCAACCCCTACCTTTGCACTAAAGGACCAACAGCATTATTCACATGCTGCTCAAGAGTGCAAAGAATGAAGTCATTCACAGTTTCCAGTCCTTTCATTCAAAAGCAGGAATACATTCTAACATTGTACTTGCACACATTCAGAAACAGATATCTACACTGCATGTTTCCAATGCCTGGAACACTAGCTTTCACTGATAAGAAAATGGAATACCATCCCACAGAAGAAAGTAAGAATGGACAAACTAAGATTGTTTCAACTACTTGAACAGAGATGCAAAACAAGACAAAATATTGTATTTCTCACATGATAGTTCTACTGGCCTTTCAACCAAATGGCTGAGGAACACAATTGGTTCCTAACACCTGGCACAATGACAGTTAAACCATCCAGGTACTTTACACACAGAAAATCACTATTAGTACATCTACACACAAGCATTCAAAAATTGACATGAGCACTGGGGAGATTAATAAGGTTTAAGACAACAACAGTAACTTGTCGTGAGGTGTATTATATAATGGAATGACAAGTAATTCTAGAATTGTGCACCTCAATGCTGGGGGGAGAGCGAGTCTCATCATGGTGAACAAATTCTTGTATGGTATGAACTTGCTGCATCAAAAGATCACAGTAGAGACGAAGTTCTGACATTTTGGTTTTAAGAGATTCATTGGTCTCACTTATTTCTATGGAAAAAAATGGAAATATCAATTTATTGCATACAATGTACATACAAATTGTAATATTTAAGCACTTTTCACTTAAAGATCAATTTAAAAATCCACTTAAACCTTCACTTGATTTTGAGGAAAACTGGATTCTACAATTAATCAAGAATTACACTTGAAGCAAACAATACTTTTGGATAACTGGTGCTAATTTAATTGCTATTATGAAAAAGACACATTATCAGAAAAAATAAAGTTGAAATCTTTCTTGGCTGCTATGTAATGTTGAAAAAAATAATGGATAAAACTTATGTCACCCACCAGAACGGCTGGAAACAGGTACATTAAGCCTTTCAAGAGAAATTATGGAAAAAGTAATAGTTACTATAAAGAGTTAATATAACATCAGAAATGAAATGTCTTCACAACAACTACAAACAATATGTTTATTCTAGTGACAACAACACCTTGTAGCATTTCAGCTTCTTCAGATACAAGAGATCAATGCAGGTGACTTCTAACTCTAACACTGAGGGGGAATTTACCATAGTGACGACTACAAATAATTACAGTTTATATTAAAAGACTTTGCACCACAACATTTATACTATGATTATTGGAAGAAGTGTTACCTAGTAACTAGTTACTCTAGGTAACATACATACCTTTTTCTTTTTTTGTTCTGGTATCTGCTAAACAGGCTTTGGCACTCCCCAGTGCCACCAGCCATCTTTGCCTTTCAGCTGCATTAACTGCTTTCATATAGAAATGCTGCTCCCCTGGGATGATTAGCTCCATTCTTGTGTTGTCTGTCGCATGAACTTGTGATAGAAGAGAAAAAAAACTGAAATAATAACCTCAACTGAGTAACAATCATTTATTAAATAGTGCTCAAAGTGTTTTAAAATGCTTATGATAATCCCACAGTAATACAGTAAATCACAAAGCACCACTGTTAAGTAAGGAAAAGCCCAAAGCTGCTCAGCCTTTCTCCCCCTTTTCTTCACAAAAAGAACAAAATAACAAGCAAAATCAAGTAGAATGGCAAAAAGAAAAAAAAAATTTACAAGTGATCCTCCCCTCTTTACATTTTACTGATTTCATCTACACTAAAGAAACACTAACAAAAAGGAGCTACCACATGAAAAACTAATTGGGCCACTTGGTGGGCCATGTAAAATAAGTTCCACTTTTTAATATGAAAGTACCCACATCACAAGCTGAGTCACCTGTGAGGACCTGGAAAAAATTCATAGTCAACAGCAATGGGAAGCTAGAAAACACCTTAGCAAAGGAGGCTGACCTACAGTTAGGAATACTCTAAAGACTAAACTCTTACTTCAGAACAAACCATTCACTTACTGTCTGAAATACACCCATCACCTGTGCATGTGTGCAGCTGCCAACAGTGACAAAAGTACAAAGTACTCAGGAAACCAAAAGACTAAACACTTCTGGTTTAAAAGAATTGCCACTTTTGGATCATTGCTGCTGCTCTTCTGGAAAACTGGCTTTCATGATTCAGTCTCTATCCCTGCTCATAAGAGGAAAAAGCAGTAGAACTAAGCAGCTAGCTAACAACTTTAAGCATGAACCATGTGCACATAACTATTAAAAACAAAAAGTAACAAATGGTGTGTTCTAAATCTCAACACAGAACTCTATTATAATACATTAATAATTATTATTTGTGCTAATGAATAGTATTAATATTGATAATATTAATTATTAATATCTGTGATAATTCATTATTATCGATGAACTATGAAGCTGACACACTGGACTATAGGTAAACAAAAATAGAGGAGGAAAAACATGTGATGCAAAAACGTATGGTTGGTGATCTTTTCTATTTCCATGGCAGCTAAAATATTCTCAAGCAGAAATCTTTTAATTCTTACCTTTTATTTCACACACAGCCATCTTTATACTTCCTTTGCTGCCTTTGCAAACATCATCCTGGGAATCATAGTATGACAATATCCCATTGTCTAAAACAAACCACCGAGGCTGCCAACCTAGGGAGACCAAAAATGTGAAAGTTTAGTCTAATTCCTAAATTGTAAATAAAATGAATCTATTTGGCTGATAAAACATTAACAAAAGAGGCAAACATTAAATTATTCTTGTAACACAGCCGGAAGAAATCATCTGTGCAGTCTGAAGACCAAAGCCACTCAATAACCAGACTACTGTTATATGGAAGCCCATGGAAGGGTTCTGAAGTTCCCTGGTTTAGAGGACTACTGGCTTCCAGCAGAAGTTTGTTGCAGGCTAACAGTCCATGGTATGTATAGCATTCACAGCTACTGTTGAGTATTTGCTTATTAAATAACAGACTTAAAGAGGAGCAAACACCACAAGAGTTCATTATCCATTTATCTTTTGCGGCAGCAACGTTTTCAGTAATGTAAGTGAAAGTGACAACTTTCATTGTTTTGGAAACAACTTTGTGCTCATTCTTTCTCTCATAACCACAACCTTTCCTCTATGTGTTTTCTCTATAGTTACTGTGAAGAAGAGACAAAGACATCAAATATCTATTTAATTACAGTACAACTGCTTCCTTTTACAAGAAAGGCAATTATGTATCTGTGGACACATAATTGCTCTGAAAGATGCAAGATTTCACTCTGTACACTTCATATGACAGCACATCCATACAATCCTCACAACGTGGCCCACATTTTATAACCCCTCAGAACCAACTTTCACACCACTTAACACTCACAACCTGCATATGCTGAAACAGAATTCACCACATGAAGTGCTGAAGAACCAGAGGGCAAAGAAGATACTGCCACAGCAGTGTAATAAGAGGCACGATAAAGCATGATTCAATGCTGATCTGTTTGGGAGAGTCCTATCACAGTGACAGGGGAGAAACGTTTCACCTTGACACCAGTGCCTGCCCACTGCCTGCCCCAGAGGGAGATGGTGTCTCTATTACACCAGAGGATCAGTCAAAGAGAACAAGGCAAATGCTGATATTCGGTGCAGAACTTTTTGTCTGCCGCGTCTCCAAAAACACATTTAACGAAACTGATGTTCATCATGCGCTTTCCAGGCTGGGATACAGGAGCTCCCTGTCCCGCTGAGAGTCTCTGACTAACTCGGCAAGGCGCAATCCAGGCGGCGAGAGCGGCTCGGCAGAAGGCCAGGGCCGGCACAGCTCCGTGC